GCGCTGCAAGAAGGAGAGATACCGCCGCTCGTTCCTACCGACTGCTGTCAGGCTGCTGAATAAAAAAAATAATAATAAAATTACGTGAAAAACAATTGTAAATAGCACAGCCACCTTATCTATATCTATATTTATATTGCACTTAATTGAACTGTGTACATTGAAACTGAAACATTTATTTTGTGAATGCAAACACTTTGTTTTTCTTCTTTCTTCTTTCTACCAACAATTTTGCTGCTGTAGACTAAATTTCCCCAGTGTGGGACAAATAAAGGATATCTTATCTTATGACGGTTTAAAGAAAAAAAGAGGTTTATAACATTTCCGTATTTGAAACGTCATAATTCATGTTTTTCCATTTAGAGAGTAATTGTGTTTAAAATAATCTCCATCTAGTAATCGCAATGCATTGTGGGTCGCAGATGTCATGCTTTGTCAGATGAGTCGCTGCAGAAAGCCTGACTGTGGTCATTCGAACTGGTCCTCCTGTGTTACATTCCTTTTCTGTACACCTGTTTTTAGAGGTATTTAGAGTTATGTTTCGGAGATCGTTTTCGTTAAGTGTTGTCCCTGAAACTTGCTAGCTCAGCGCACTGTGTATGACCGTAGTGATGCCGCTAAGTTAGTTCTAACGAGATGCTTGTGGAGGCTCTCAGTCGTACAGGAAAGTTCCATCATAGAAAGGGTTCTGTCAGTCGTCATCTGTACCTGTGGGTAAAAAACAAAAAAGGACGTTTCGCTTCTCTCACAGAAGCTTCGTCAGCGGTAGACAACCCTGAAGTCTCCGTGAAGACTCCGGGAAATTGCTCTGCGCTAAAAAGCTGAGCGTGGCCTATTTGAGGACTGGGTGGGGATGGTTAGTCACGCCCCTATGGTGAAGAGGCCCATTGATTTCTAAATTCCCTATCGTTGGGTCTTGATTAGGCCTATTGTTTGGGCTAGGGCTGAATAGCTACTTTCATTTGGCCTGATCAGCATGTCTATGTCCCTTGGTGGTCAACAAGTTATTGTAAATAGGAGACAGGTTAAATCTGATACCTCCTTTTTAACAAAAATCGCTTCCTTTACTCCCCTTTCAAACCATCTCTTTTCTGTTCC